TAACAATGTATCTGGCCACATGACTGCACATCATGCTGGGACATCAACCTAACACACATTGACACGAGCTACCACTATGCCATGATTTGCCACCAGCCACTGCCAGTCTGGTGCTGCTAGCCTCCCTTTCAGCATCGGGTTTTTTAAATTATTCAACATCCTTGCCTACATCTACTGCTTCTGTAAACCTAGTGAATCAGGTGGCCACAGTAACAACTCCTGACCGTACATCCCTGTTTTTACCAACTGCATCCACATTGTTGTTCTCATAAGCAAGCCACAGTCTGTTGTCTCCTGCTCTCAAACAACCAAAACAGCTTCAGCCAGTATCAGTAACAAATCAATGCAAAGTAGCATACACGGTATACCCATAGCCAGAGAACAAATAGTGATCAAGAAAAGCACTGCAACTCATTATTGGCCTACACTGTATGAATGAATGGATGACAGCATTTGATCGCGAGTAGATACCGGTCCTGGAGCTGGGTTGGGTACCGGGTCCCAGGGATTCCCCTAGGATTTTTTTCAGGGGTGTGGTCGACCTCTTGAAACCACCATTGTCGCTGAGCGCCCATCGTCATCAAGACAACGCACTAATTTTTGCCTGTTAATGTTCGTCACCTTCTCCGCTCCTCTTCGACATTTTTATTGCTAAAGTTCCTGCCTCCTCTTGGAGTAACAGTTATGCTACATTCACATAATGGGCGATGAAACCATGGAAAGGGCCCTATAAAATACAAAATTCTGTTTAATTTTTTGCCAGATTCTGTGTTTTCTGTTAAAATTTTTCGGAATTTTGTGTTTACATTTTGTCATCAGAAATAGTGTGTAATCATGTGATGGTGAATATGTTTTCAACAATTCAATAAGCAAATATTACAAATTGTATCATGAAAATACTATATATTCAAATGCATGTGCAATTATGTATGGGGACAGTTCACAATAAAGGTAGGCTGTAGGCTACTGCTACAGTAGGATGTTCAAACAGGCTACTATAATACTATTTGAGAGGGGACAATTCAGAATGAATGCATTGTTGCAGTACATGTATTGTGAATTGTCCCCTATCCAACAGGTTATTGCTTGACAGCCTCCATATGCAGCTGAACACACAGTATAAGTGGGTCTGACGACGCTACTCTCACATGGGCTAGCAGCAATACATTTTTTATTTTTATTTAAATCAATAATTTATAAAACAATTATTCATCAACATGATGAATCTGACTAGACATTTGATGCCAGCTTTAATGTATTTGACATTTTTTTATTTTTTAGAATTTAATATCTTACAATCAAGTGACTGATATCTTTCTTTCAAAATTTCGTTTGCCAAAATATACTACTCATCATAAACCCTATTGATACACTATACTCTTCTGGTAGCACAGTTCTCTGTCCTGTCATGAGAGCAGATTTAAAGTTGACATTGACAGTGAGACACACAGTGAGAACTTGAGAGGCCATGACAGTTAGCGAGGAGCTGCACTGTGTGTGACTGTTAAAGAATGTGCTGTAATGCAGCTCAGAAGCATTTGGAGATGACTGACAGCTTATTTCAGGATGAGCATGTCACACTGTTTCTTTCCTGTGCATTACGCTGGTGAAGACAAACACATTTTTCATGCATTTAATCAGTGTTTGATCCATCAACATGCAATAGCAATCGCAATGTAGCCAAGGACGGACTGGCCATCAGGAGTCTTCCTGAACGGTCGGTCCATTCCAGGCCAAACCAGCCGGTGTGTCATCTATGCTACCTGCAGTGAGTTTCTACATTAGCTTGTGTTTTGTGCATTTACAGCGCATTTCTGTATTTGGTTGTGTTTTATGTATTTGCAGCATGTTTCTGTATCCAGTTGTTTTTTGTGTATTTGCAGCACATTTCTGTATTTGGTTGTGTTTTATGTATTTGCAGCATGTTTCTGTATCCAGTTGTTTTTTGTGTATTTGCAGCACATTTCTGTATTTGGTTGTGTTTAGTGTATTTGCAGGGCATTTCTGTGTTAGCTTGTTTTTTGTATTCACAGCACATTTCTGTATTTGGTTGTGTTTTGTGTGTAATTGCACCACGTCTCGGTATTGGGTTGTGTGTTTCTGTATTTGGTTGTGTTTTGTGTATTTGCTGTGCATTTCAGTATTAGCTTAGCTTAAGTTTTGTGTATTTGAAGCACATTTCTGTATATGTTTGTGTTTAGTATATTTGCAGCGCATTACTGTGTTAGCTCGAGTTTTTTGTATTTGAAGCATGTTTCTGTATTTGGTTGTCTTTTGTGTATTTGTAGTGCTTTTCTGTTTTATTTTGTTTTTCGTATTCACAGCGCAGTTATGTATTTGGTTGTGTTTTCTGTATTTGCAGCACATTTCTGCATTTGGTTGTGTTTTCTGTATTTGCAGCACATTTCTGCATTTGGTTGTGTTTTCTGTATTTGCAGCACATTTCTGCATTTGGTTGTGTTTTCTGTATTTGCAGCACTTTTCCTCAATGTGTGTTGTGTTGTGACTGTGTTGTTAAATTGGGAAAGATATTTTCTTAATTTGTGTTTTGCCAATTATATGTGTTTTCTTAAGCTGCAGTGCATTGTGCTCCCGGGGGCACAGTACATTAAGGCTAATAGCATATAGTTTGCATAACAAAATCTGCTCAGTGAAACTACAGTAAACCTACACATTGGCAATGTGTCATCACATATGGCTCACACATCCTTGATTGAGCTAACTCTGTGATGTAAAACATTCTAGTACTGAACACACAGCTGTGCTCTGGGCTGCAGTCAAAGTGCTGTCAACAGCAATGCCAACCACCTGAGGCTTCTGCATCTCAAAAGCCTTTCAACTCCATTTCTCCACTGAGGGGAAAGGATCATCCATCTTAGTGACAACCTGGAATTGTGAAAAATACCTGTGGCTGACAAGAGGGTTCCTCAAGATGCCAAGAAAGCCGAATGCAGATGGCCCAGTGCTGAATCCTACAGGCAGTGACACCTGCCATGGCACTTGTACTAATACGGGTGCACCATGTCTGAATGAAAATGGGATGTGTAATTTTCATCATAAATGACTTGCTGCATATTGCACCTGTCTTGTTTTGTAATCACCAGTGGGGGAACAACTGCCAATATGAGCTGGGATTATTAGAGGTGTCACTCTTCAGCTTTTCACTTTCTTAGCACTATGGCCTGTCATGGGCAGCAATATATAGTTAAAAACTATAGTTACTGTCATAAACAACTGGCAAAATTTCTTTGAAAAACATGACATGACTGGCTGATTTGGAGTTTATGACCACATGTCAATATCTTAATTTTGGTAAATGTGATGCTCAATAACAAGTGAAACATGATTTAAAAAAGATCAATACAATAATTCAGGTTTATTACACCATGGATCTTTTTTTAAGTGTTTTCCCCGTCATTTCTATCATTTATGATAACATTGTACCAGGGTCTGAAAATAATTTTTTTTCACTGCCACTAATAAATTTTATCTGCCACTTTTAAAAATGTATGTGCTAAATCAAGGAATAACACTTAATTTACTGTAAATAAGGTTGTAATTCAATGTTCAGTTTATTTACACAAAAACTTTACATGCATGTTTACATGCAGAAAAGAACCGTTGTCTTTCAGTACAAGACTTACTTAACAACCGGGTATTTCAATTGAAGATGCACGATCAATATTATTATTATCACTGTAGCCTATATGTCAGACATGATAAGAAGGAAGCAGAGTGGAAAAATACAGAATTAAATGGGTTGCTTGATGAGCAGTGGAGGATATCATTTAATATCATTAGGTAGGCTGCCGACAGACGACAAGAAACACAATGTTCACCACGGTGTATTATAACAGTAGGTGTGCAATACAAAATCCATAGTTCAACCACCAACGACTGAGTCCTTATCTCAGTTCAGATCTCTGCAAGAGTTCATATCTCAACAAAAACCTCCTCTTCTGGATCCCAGCAAGCAAACAAAAAATACTCAGTTTCAATACAAAAGTTGGCCAACAAAAATAAAAGGTGTTCTAGGTGTTCTACAGAAGCCATAATCCTTCATTGCAGAAGGCAACTTTCAGCACACAACTATGGTAAGTTCAGTAAAATTGAGCCAGGGAGTACTTTTTAGTTATGCTGCCATGTTCCACATCTCAGCAATCTATGTACTATGTATGCCCTAAGTTTATGTTTACAGACTACTAAATAATTTTGACAAATGTGATTTGAAGGAAATGTTATTGCTGCGTTGATAATGTTCACTGGCAACATTTTCTACAGTCTAGGAAGCGTAGGATGTAACATGAGGTAAGTTGTAACAATTTTTCTGCCCTCTCCACAGGCGGAGAGCGAGTATGGAAAAGATCGAGTGCCGATGCACACGCCAACATGTGAACAACATGTGAATGGGAAGTACTGGTCACAGTGCAGACAAATGAATGCTAGTAATCCTGGAGTGCAAGTTTGGTGGGCCCAGACTGCAAAGGGCACTCTGTAAAATCTTAAAATCAAGAAAGTCCATAGTTGAATGTATAGCACTTTTTAAAGAAGTTTTACAACCCACCCCACCCCTGTCAGTCATTGTTTAGCTAGCTGTTTTAGCATAGCGGTTTGAAATTAGAAAGGAAAAAATGCATCACATGTTGCCTAAGAAACTACATTTCAATCTAATATAAGTCAAACAATTTTATCATTATTATTAAAAAAAGTACTTTCTGATCTCAAAATATTTTTTTTCTCTGTATATTCTGAATGTAACTGTTTGCAGACTTGATAACCACCATGCCTGATCGGATAGGAAGTAGGTAAATACTGAAATGATCACCTCCTTTCTTATTTCTAATTGGTGGAATTGGTGTTGTTACATGTTACATGTTACAACCATACCCAGTCACACGGGCATACAGACATACAGTACAACGACTCCACGATGATCAGCGCCACGGACTCACAGCCTGCCCTCAACGTCAGTACTTATGCGACTGTCTGAGTGGATTTACCTGTTTTGCCAGTGTTCTTCATAGATGTCTTATTAGAAGATTCCGTATCAAAGCCCTCCAGTGTCAGTTCCTGAAAGTCTGCGGATACTTTGGTATCCTGGTCCACAATGTTGATTGGTGACTGGTTTCTCTCTCTGCATTCTGTGTAGGCTGACGCCCAGCCCTCGTCGGGCCCATACATACCTGAGGAAGACAGGAAATGCAACAAGGTCTCATCAACAGAAAGATACAATTTGATGTGCAGCTAAATTTGCTTTAGAAGGATACCCCAGCGAAAATTTACATTTCAGAACAATCTCATGTCCTCTGAAAACAAATGATAGTGTGCACTGCCAAGTCATCTGAGTTTCAGTTGAACATTGCACACAGAATAAACATTATGAAAAAAAAGCAAAGCATTTCCATTTATGTGGTAAACAGAACATTCCAAAATGTCATTATGATGAAGCCAGGATGTGTCCCATGGTGCCTTTTGTGACATGCTACATAAAATAAAATCTTCTCATGCAGTGCGTTCAGTTTGTCTAGACAGGGAAGGTTTTTTGTAATATATGCAATATATTGTTAATTTAATATTTCTGCTTTGGGGGTTTATCACAATACACAATTCCCATAAAACATAGACAATCAAGGGTTAAACATCACCAGCTGGACAGAATGGGCTGAGTGTCAGTGAGTTGAGTCAAGTGGAGTTGCTGAGGCTAGTTCAGACGTGGCTGTAATACAAGTAGGACAGAGAGGAATGAACGGTGACGTTTTTAGACAGCAGAGATTAAAGCTAAACAATCAGGAAGTGAGCTGCAGTGATTTTTAGTCCCTTCATGTGACACAGTACAGTACAATATGATATGACAATATGTTATTTAAATGAAAGAGCTGTACAGTTTTGCAGGGATGTACAACATATTGATAGACAGTGGTGGAAGAAGCATCCTTAGCTATTATCAGTAAAATGTACTTAAAAGTCTTAAAAGGAAAAGTACTAATTGGGTTTAATGTTCGCTGTCACTATTATATATACAGTATATTATATATCAGGGTCTGTTTTTTTTGTTTTGGTCTGTGCGTCTGCCTGTTTCCTGTTTTAAGTTTGTCTGTGTCTGTAGTCTGTGTCTAGCTTTCTTTCCTGTTGTGCCCGATTTTCCTGAATGTGTTGCACCTGGAGATTCCCCCCTACCTGTTCGTTTGTGTCAGTATATAGAGCCCTCATGTCTGTTCAGTCTCTGTCTGATTGATCTTTAGTTGAGTGTTCTGTCCATGCTCTGTGTTTGGAACACAGGATTATCCTGCTGTGTTTCTGGATTTCTGTTACTTATATGGAATACTGCCTTCGGTTGGACTTTGTGGTTAAATAAACCTTGCAAACTGAATTTAACTCCCACTATTGCCCTGTATTTGGGTCCAATAACTGTTTTACAGTAGGCCAATCAATCCTTCAGTTTCTTAGAGACAAAATTACCTAATAGTAACTTAAAGAGGTGGTATTATGCTTTTTGGCTTTTTCCCTCTCCTTTATTGAGTTATATATCTTTTTTGTGCATGTAACAGGTTTGCAAAGTGAAAAAGCCCAAAGTCCAGCCCAAAGGGAGTTCCCATCTCCCACAGAAAACTCTGCTCTGAACTGCCTGAAAACAGCTCGTTTGTAGTCCTGTCACATTCTGCCTGTCGGCCATGTTTTAGTTGTTTTTGGTCAGTTGATAATCTGTTATTTTGGTTTGTTGTGTTTTGGGTTTCTGTCTTGTCTGTTGCCCTGTGTCCAATCTGTGTTTATTGTGAGCTCTGCTGTTTTTGTTGTCAGTTTGGTTATTATCATCCTGCGTTAATCTGTTTTTGTTCTGTTATCCTGTTATCTTGGCTCCCTTATCCACTCTGTGTTATTAGTTCGGTCCCTGTTTGTTTTGTTTGCTTATACCGTGCGTTAGATTCCCTGTTGCTGTCCTGTTTAGTTTAGACTTCAGTAGTTTAGTAGTTGGTCCATGTTTTCTCTTTTTTGGTTTGTTCCTTGTCTCGTGTTCTCTATTTAGCCTTGTTTGCTCCATGGTTCATTTGCATGTTCTGTTTTGCTCTCTTAGCATCTTTCCTGTCTTGTATCTTTGGTTTAGTTCTGTGTTTTAGTTTATGTCTGTTCCCCCAGTAATCACTCTGCCTGCCTCTCTGTTCCCCCCTGCTGTCTCCTGCCTCGTTAGCCTTGATCCTTTTCATCTGTGTTGCTCCCGCCCTGCTCGTTAGTCCCTGTGTATACATGAAAAAAAAAATGTACACACACACATATATATATATATGTTTTTCTGTTCAGTCCAGTCATTGTAGTGTGTTTACACTCAGTTATGTTGTTTAGAAGAGTGTTCTGTCTGCCTGTTGCTGTACAACCCTTCTGTCAATTTGGATGTTCCAGTCTACTGCCTGTAAGCCTAAGAACCTGGTATTTGTTTGGATTAAAATTCCCTGAACTGAATCTCTGCTCTGTGTCTTGCGTTTTGCCTCACCCCTGCTTTTTACTCATTCTGAAAACTGCGAAAAGTCCAGCTGTTTCCCTTTCATCCCTGTGAAGTCACAGGGATGAAAGCAAAACGTGCGTCATATAACGCTCGCCAAGCGGCTAGTCCGACACGCCCTCAAAAACACCGGTGGAAAAACACTGAGCCCCAGCACACACCTCTCCTCTCCCTTCCAAACACTAGCTACCCTCCAGGCAGTCAATAAAGTTTTTACTGTGATGTAGAGACAGAGCTCAGTTAAAACTTTATGGATGAAAGATACTTTTGTTACAGATTAATAACTCCCCACTCTGAAACTCTTGCTCCAGTCTATGTTGCCAAGCTGGTCGGCAACATGTACAGCTGAAACGATACCGGCTTCTCATTGGCCCGCCTTCTCTGTTTCTGATTGGCTAGTAGTCCTTAACTAGGAACTGCGCATGTGCAACTCCCAACATTTAAAGACAAGATGTATCACTCCATAGCTAAAACGAAGCCTTCACACACAGGGTGAAAAGAGGAGCTGCAGCAATGTGCAGTATGACAAAATATATGGTGTTTTTTGAAAATGAAACCATGTAAACCTGTTCTGGTACAACCCATAAATAGGAGTTTGAACCTGAAAATGAGCATATTACCACCTCTTTAACATTCAGACAAATATAGTGGAACAGAAAATTACGATTATCCTGTCAATCATGTCATCGATTTGATATCATGAAGCATCACCTCTAGGGGTGGGAATCTATGGGCACCTCATTACAATTATAAGGGCTATGATGCGATGGTAAAACGAATAGGATCAAGATGTATTTTTTCTCACTGTGTGAGTACTTTTAAAGCCAATTATTTGTAATGATCCCACCAAGTAGGTAAAAATGACATGCAGCTATTTAACGTTACTACCTATAAATGTAGCTAACTTGACATAGCAACATAACATAATTACTGAACTCTTGTTGTTATTTTCATTTCTGATGCTGCTGTTATTAGTATAAAGTCAGATACAGGTTGAACTATGCACTTTACAATGCTCCAGCCAAACCACATTAATAAATCTGCTCTTTTGTCTGGTCTTGTATAGTTACATGTTTGTGTCTTGTCTTGTAAGTTGATTATTGTAATCTTGTACTGAGCACCAGGCACTGTGAAAAATGGCATTTTTTATTAATTTGAGTACCTGTTGGCTTTCCTGTTCAGTTTCCAGACCGCAGTCTGCAACAACATTTTGTTATCAATTAACCTTTAGATAATCGATCATTGACATTTGTGAATCAATTCAGAATTGTCCAGGTCCGCATCTCTATGCATCTATGAATTAATTATTTTCCACACCCCTACATGAAATGGAAATACTCAAGTAAAGTACAAGTACATCAAATTTGTTCTTACACCAGTTTAAAAAGTCAAGCTCTTCTTTGTGCTGTCGTATTGTCACAAACGACTTGAAGCAAGTGTATTTTAGAGCAGTGTTATACAAATGTGAGTGTTTAACCCGATGCTACACTCCATCAGCCCTTGAATTTGCCAATGAAACTGAAATAAGGAGATGGTCAACCATTTATCAGTAACACTGAATATATGTAAATATAGTTGTGGATTCCATGGATTTTCTGTAGTAGGATAGTACTGGTGCATATGGACTTATATACAGCTACATTTATATTTTTGCTGTCTTGAGCTAGAAATAACCTAATTTGGGCTGAGAGGGTGGAGCGTTGGTTGAGCGGGAATGAGCAAGTGGCAACAACCACGACTCGGTGTGATAGGCTAAGGCACGTGTCAAGCAAATATTCTGCCAAACGGATATCTTTTCTATATATGCCAATCCTGATTGTCCAAACTTTGTAAATCTATGTTGGTCTATTCCATCCACATGACAGATAATGCATGTCTGTTGATCCTGGAAGAGGGATCCTTCCTCTGGATTTCTTCCTGAGGTCTAAGGATAGATGGTGTACTGTATAGACTGTAAAGGCCCTTGAGGCAAACGTGACTTGTGATATTGGCTATATATCTATATATATTGGCTATAAATAAAATTGACTTAACATGTCTTTTTATCCTCTCATTTTTGGCCTCTTGGGTGCAATAGAACATGCTGTGTACACGGCATTGACAAATGTTAGTTGCCTTGGAATATTCTCTTGCACTGAGGCATTGCGGCTTCACTTAAGTAAATGATCTCATTTCTACTACTCCTACCATTGAGCGTATACCACAGGTAATTAAACCAAATATTTCCACTAAAATGGCCCTAGCTTGTAGGAAAAATCTAGCATGATCTAGTGTACATTTCCACAGTACTGCAGTGTATTTCCATCAGAACAACAATGTACATTAACATCCTTGAGCACTGTTTAATTGATTCTTACTAATACTTTTTGCTGTGTTGTACTGCTGTTCATGAACTCAACACTACTGTTGCTGTCTTCTCATGAGATAATGCCCCTTCAACCACTGAAAGGATTTTAATGTAAAATAAGCGGAGGAACTGTTGCAGCAAACGGCAGCAAGAGCAAATGAAGACTGCAGATCTGTAAACAGGAAGGCTTTCAAGGTTTGTCATTCTAGAACGCAGGGCTGCACAACGATGTTAAAGTTGTAGTCACCCTTCATGCTACACACAGAACATAAATGCAAATATGTAAAATTAGAATAGAATAATCCTAAAAACTATATATAAAATAAGAGTTACAGTATTGT